ATTTTATGCAAAATATGCTCAAAATGTAAAAGAATATTGCTTGCGTAGGAACGCTCCATTTGAAATGAGCAAATAAGGACATTTCTAAACAGCAAACAGCCGGATTCCTAATAGGCATTAAATTGACACAAAAAATATGACCGATAAAGCTATGCGAAATAATGCAATTTCAAACATATTTCTTGTCTTCAGATACTTATACTAAAATTGAGTGTGGAATTTTTTGGTAAAACATTGTAACCCCTTAACTCTTAACGTAATGGGTCTATTTGACGCTTATTTTGAAGCAGTTCCATGGAAATTCATTTAAAAGGGCAGTCTGATGATAAGAATGTTCTTTAAAAAATTATAAGCAGGAAATTTCGGGTACAGGAGAAGAGCAAATTATGCGATCACAAAACTGTACATATAGCAAAATTTTGCGCAATTTTTTTCGTAGAACTTGTTGCCCTTTAACTCCCTCCATTAGGAGTTAAGTTAATTTGAACTGGCGTTTCGAGGATTAAAATATTCTAAAAGGTATTTAGCAGAGTATTTTACTAAAAAACTTAAATTTCTTAAGGAGCGAAGTTTTTTTTCCTCAAGTCTCTGTAAAATTCGCCACTTAATATATTCGTTGAATTTTTGTAACCTCGAAATAAGGCTCAAAAATGCCTATTACAAAAGGAGTTGAGGAGTTAAAATGTTCCACGCAAAAATTACTCGCTAACCATAACTGCACCTGTACAGCTGTAACGAAAAGTGGAAAAAAAATATTTCATTGATATATCATAATAAAAACTAGTCGCTCAAGGCCGTTTTCATAGTGCAAGTAAAATAACGAGCGAGTGTTAGTTGGTCACTTTGAGAACTGCCCTTAGACCTGAATCGCGTAAAAAAATTTAAATGGCCCAAATTGTTTGTCAATTTGATGCCTAGTGGAAATGCGTTTGCTTTGCATTAAAATTTCGCTTGCGATGAGACGTTAATTTTAAAAACTAACAAAAACAATAACAAAACTATGTATTTGTATACTTAATTTTTTTTTGTATTATTTTGATTAAATAATTTCATAAATTTGTAAATTTTTGTGAAGAAGTTTATATCATTCATATCGGAAAATATTGTAAAGCATTATTCTTGATTTTTAGACATATTAAAAACAAGAAGAAAATAAAACGATCTTATTATAAAAGATAAGTTAAAAGCAATGAGAAAATAAGAAGAAAGCAACATTGATGCATAAAATTAAAATAAATAAATAAATAAATAAATAAATAAACGTAAGAACTAAGCCCTTTGTACCGTTGTACTATATTGTAGTAAACAACAAAACGTAAGTACGTGCATATGCATGCCCATGCAGACACACAAACGTATTTATTTCGCTCATAATGCGCATATCCGCAAACAACCTAAGCATCAAAAACCAAATTCGATAAGAAAACAGCACTAAAAAATAAAAACAATAAAAGTAACATTGAAAAATGCATGCATTTCAATGGAAAATACTAAAAATTAAACTATGTTGATTTATTTATTTAAGAGTTTTTAAGTATAAGGCATAAACAAACAAAGAAACAAAAAAGAGCAAAATTTAAAGAATTTTGTTTTTAAATACATACAAAATAAATGTCTCCCTAATGTGTTGCATTTTATTTAACGGTACGCGTGTATGCAGGGCGGCCGCTGCGGTGTAGTGGTTAGCAGTGCGCGCTACCATTCCGGAGGGCCTGCATTCAAGTCCGATTCAAGACAACATTAAAAAATAAAAACAAACAAGTTTTTTTTTAATAGCGATCGCCTCTCGGCAGGCAATGGTAAACCTCCGAGTGTATTTCTGCCATGAAAAATAGCTTCTCATAAACCTACAATCGCCTTTCGGAGTCGGTGTATAATTGTAGGTCCCTCCCCTTTGTTTGCGATTCTTTATCAAAAATTTTAAAACACTTGCAGGTGTTATTGTTGTTGTAGCGGCTTCAACAACACCGCCCATATCAGTTAATATCTTAGCCGTTGTCGTCAAGCTACATTAACGCAAGCCCGAAGAAGCGTGCAACCTCAATAGGGTCGGTCCACAGGGTTAAAGGCGTTAGGGTTGTCGGGTTTTCCGGGCATACGAAGCGATGTTTGGAGTCATGGGGTATCTCTCCGCATGCAGGACACTCATGTGGCTCATCTGCTCAGGTATGAGTTTAACCTGCTGCAGTAGCCAGAGCGAAGTTGGGCTATTGTGGTTCTAGTCTCCCGATGCCGATGAAGCTCCGTCTCGTCGAAGCCCGGTGATTGTGCACTAGAACGGCATTCACAGGTCTGCAGTCTACATAACTCGAGACTGACTCCCTGTGAATGCCGCTCAAGGCCTGTCGCTAAGCTGACGGGTCCAGAGGTTGTTTAATGAACCTCTGGACTTCGTCCGTCAGTTTGTAGAGATATTGAGGACCTCCGTTAGGTGCTCTACTCACGCAGAACCCAATTATTCAGCATCAAGATGCATATTCCATCGGGAGCCATGGCTTTGGAGGCTTTCGTCTTTCCGATGGCCACCTGACCTTCATCGCTAGTGAAAGCAAGGGGCACAAGTTGTTGACAGTTTGTGCAGCGTTCTGGTCACTCGACGCTTGGCTCTGTCCGCTGGAGGATGCAGTATGAACTTCCAGCTAAAATAGCCCGCTCATCGGCTAGAACAGCCGCTTCAGCAGGGAAGTTTGGACGGGGGTTCGTAATGCGTCCTGCCGGTACGAAGCGGGCCGCAGCAGCAGTGACAGCCCTGCGGAACTTACGTTCGCCAACGTGGACGTCGGTTAGTGTGGGGAGCGCAGCGAAGGAGCTCTCAGTAAATTCCGCAAAGCCTTTCTAATCAGCTTTAGAAAAGTTGATATAGGTCCGGTGTTCCGCGGAAGCAAAGTCGGTTGGTTTTTCGATAAAGATGACTATGGGCAGGTGGTCTGATGCCAAAGTCAGCATAGGTCGCCATGATATGCTGTTTATCAGACCAGCGCTGACTATTGTTATGTCTGGCGAGCTGCAGCAGCTGCCCATAATCCTGGTGGGTGCGTCGTCGTTCATTGTGCAGAATGTCGAATCGTCTATCTGCTCAGCCAAGTCTGTTACCCTACGATCGTTTAACAGGATTGAGTGCCAAAGATCGTGGTGCGCATTTAAGTCACCTACTATCATCACCTCTGAGGAGCGCACCTATATCAGGGTGATATACTGCCAGGCAGCAGGGACAGGAATGCCCTGAGATTCTAGGGTGGTATCTCTGCTGTCGATGTCTGCTTCAATAAGACGGTACTGCACGGTGTGGTGCGTGATGAACGCTAAGCCACCACCATTATCTCGCTCGCGATCTCGACGGTGCACGTTGTATCCGGCACAATTCAACAACGTTGATTTGTTGTGCAACTTCGTCTCTTGGACCGCAGCTATCAATATACCTTCCCATGAAGACCGTTGCAGTTAAATTTAAGGAGCTTCATGTGGTTCGGGAGACGTGTTGTTATGCGGGGTGTGATGGATGTGTGTAGCCTTGCCGCCATTGTGTGTGTGCGCTGCTTTTGAGGCTACCGACCTGTGGTGGTAGTGGTTGGCATCGCAATTGGGGTTTGCAACATGGGCCCTCGAAGTTCCGCGTCCAATCTCGCGTGGTGCGCACACGTGAGCATGCCCTAAAATGGCACCAGCCAAGGTATGTGTTGCACTTGACTGATGTCACGTTACGGAATATCCTGGTCTGACATACCATGCAGATTGTTGGAGGAACCAAGAGTTGTCGTGGTTGTGGTGTGGTATATTGTGTTGTTGTGTTGTGGTGCTGTGGTGCTTGTGTTGAGCTGCTCAGGTGGACTGGGGTTAGTCGTGAAGGCTGCTCTGTTTGAGCAGCAGGGGCCACAAATGGTGTGGTCCTCTGCCGATGGGTCTGTAGTCCTGAGCAGACTCAGTGGTGACTCCACCCGTCGCAAGCATTTCACTTGACTGAGGCGGAGCTGGGCATTAAAAAATATTCGTGTCATTACATTAAAAAATAGTCATTAAGTTCATTTCCACTTGGCATTTTTTTAAATGGCATAAATTTTTTGTCATTCCAATACCTAGTGGAAATTCGGCATAAGCGATTACCCAACGCATACCACTTCACATGTGTAAGTCTGTTGGGTTTTGATTTTTACTTAAAAATGGTATAGCTGTGCATAGTATGCATAACTGGGCTGTTATGAAAATTGGTCCGCTTTGTACCAAAACCGGAAGATAGCCAGCAAGAATTTAAAGCCACCGATGGCCAACAAGAATTTAAAACAACTACTACGTCATAAAATTCGTTTCAGTGTTTATTAAAAAACAGGGTTTTTAATAAATTCGACACTTTGCAGCTTTTGTTTGGTTGGAATGTGAAATTCTGAGCGATCGACAATTCAGTTGATAATTGTTGAAAACTCTCTGTTATTAGGGAACAAGACTTACAAAACCTAAAATTTATAGCAAAGCCAGTTATGTGTTAAGCAGCTAAGAAAACAACTTCAAATATGCAAGTTATTACATACTACTTACTGTACTTACCATAAACAATGACTTTATTTTAATAAGCTTTTTCCGCTAACTCGTATTTAAAAAAAAAAAAAATATTTCTGTGGTTTTGAACGGATTGTGCTGTAAAGATTTTTATAGACATTTAATTTAACGACTCTGGCAAACAGAGGTGCTTTAAATCAGCTGGCCTGGAAATTGCACAATAATGGCCAAGAACACACGAGAACAATAGTGCATGCATAATTGTTTTCGGCCAATATCGTGGCCGACAAATCAACAGGAATGATTTATATAACTCTGCAATGATCGGAATATATAAGAGTAATTCAACTTTATTTATTTAATACCAAGTCCACTGTGTATAACGCCCTGATTTAGTAGTTTTCTCATATATGTATTTTGCCACGTTTATTTAGAACATTAGTGGCACCCTGTGTGCAAACATATAATCCCATAATCGAAACGTGGCAGCACTGATAAGTTGTAAACAATTTTGTTGTGGAAAAAGTTGGAAATATTTCAATTGTTAGCTCTTGTAGAAAAATAAAAAAAAATGTTTAATGGATTGTGCTGTGTGTTATGCTTGGAGAGCTCAAACGAAACATTTGATTTAAAATTTATAGAAGGTCAAAGTTTAGATAAGCGAAAAGTTATTGAGCTGCATTTTAAAGCAGAGGTTTGCTAATGCTATACGAGTTTTTACGACTAACTTCATTATCAATAAACATTTATTATTGAAGGTGGATTTGTTAGCTGAATTTGACGCGAAAGTCGTTTGTAAAAACTGTTGGGAATTAGTCAATTCATTTCATGAGTTCTACCAGCACGTGAAACGAGTCCATCAAACGGCTGCAAACACCTTGAAAAATGTCAGTGCGGAAGCTGAAGTATCAGAAATTAAGGAAGAATTTACCAGTCATGAAGAAGTCCAACCACCACCGCGACGCCGTAGAGGACGGCCGAAGCGCCAAAAATCATCTCTCGAAATGTCTTCTGCGGCTGACTTGCCACTTGCGGAGTGCCAAGTTAAAATTGAGGAATTAATTTTGCCAGCAGCTACTAATGCTGAAGGCATCTGTGCAGCAGATATTACTTCAGAAGCGTTGGACGTTAAAGATGAGAACCGACTAGATTTTTTGGAAACTTCTAATTCTCCAACAGCGGCGGACTTTGAAGAATATGTGAGTGAGAATGAAGAGCAGCCAAATGCACGCAAGTCCGCAAAAGCAGATAGACGTAAAAACATTAATAAAAAAACCGCAGAGTCAGATGAGTATATAGCAAAGAAAAATTTCAAATTCAATTGTTGTATGTGTCAAATCTCGCTTGCGAATTTCAAAGAATTGAAGGATCATTTTCGTAAGGATCACCAGACCAGCGGTTATGTGCTTTGTTGTGGAAGAAAATTACCCGAGCGAAGTTTACTAATTGACCACCTTCATTGGCACGAGGATCCTGATTATTTTAAGTGTAAACATTGTGGAAAGAGAATGTCGGAACGACGGAGTCTTGATCTCCATCTTCAATATGCGCATGGGAATCGGGAGCGCGTACATCGTTGTTCTATATGCTCCAAAGGCTTCTTTCGCCCATCCTGCCTTAAACAGCATTTAAATACTCATGTTAGCGAAGACCAAAAAACAGTACCCTGTTTACAATGTGATAAAACGTAAGTAATTAATTGCGATTACAAATAAAAGATCTACGTATGAATGTACTAATATTAAAATTTTTAATTTGAATAGATTTCCTGATGTCGTTGAATTAAGAAAACACATGAGGCTTACGCATTTGAACGCATATGCTAAAATATGTCATATTTGTGGTATATCAATAAAAGGCCGCGACGCATTTGAACGACATCAGGCAGAACATGCAGGGATAGAACGAAAGCTGATAAAATGTGACATGTGCGACGCTGCACTCACCACAAAGTATGGTTTGGCGCGCCATATAAAAACGATGCATACGGAAGAGTATCAGACGCCACAAGTTTGTCCTATTTGTTCGAAAGTTTCGCCTACTCTGCAGGCTCATCGTAATCATATAAAATTTATGCATTCTTTACAAAGGAAGCACGTATGTAAATTATGCGATAAGGGATTTAAACGGCTTACCGATTTCAAAGTGAGTTTGTTGGTTAATTTTTTTTTAATATGTACTTATCTTAGTGGTTTGTCTCTTTACTCATAGGAGCACATGGCTACACATACTGGAGAAGCATTGTATACGTGCAGTTTTTGTCCACAGACATTCAAATCAAATGCAAATATGTATTCACATCGTAAGAAAAAGCATGCAAAAGAGTGGGCTGAACAATGCGAATTGAAAAAAAGTTTAGCTGTACCTTTAAAAGAGGCCATATCTTCGACCCAATGAAAGCAGTTGGCTAATCAATGTTCATAAATATATCTATAATACATACATACATAAGTAATTTAAAATTAAATATGAGAAACTCTTATTAAAATAATAAATTATTAATGTGTATTTGCGATCCACTATTTTAAAGGACTACCTTAGACGTGTATGTAAGTTTCTCAGGCCATCGGTCACTTGAGCTCGAGGACAACTATTGAAACTACTGAAAGCTGACTTAAGTAAAGCTAATTGGATCCAACAAAAACAAATATTGTAGTTAAAGTATGATTCCAAGTTTCGATTACCTTATTTAAGCACAGCACCTTTCGCCCATGTCATAAAATCAAAACCAAATGAAACGTTTAAAAGCAGGGTTTTTTCATCGCTCTGATCCGGTATTTTATTTCGCTCTGAGCTCCGCGGTTGCTCCACCCCCGCTCCCACTAATTTTTTTTTTTCTGTTTACATATGAGCCCTAACCGTAGGCGAAATTTTTTTGAAAATTTTCTGCTTGATGCAGAATCCATCTGGAACTCGTCTGCATGCAAAAGAAAATAATAAAAAAATCCCAAGTTAATTAAATAGAATGGAAATTTATTTAACAAGGCTATTACTTTATTTTTATACCCGAGCGCACTTGTGACAGGCAAAACAAATCGAAATAGATAATAAAAAGAGAAATCGATTAAGCGGTGACTGTCTGTCCGTCCGTGCGTCTGTGCACACGTCGAGTAAAAATTGAGATATCTTAACGAAACTTAAAATGGGCAAAATCGGACAAACCTCCCATATAACGGTAATTTTCAGAAATACGAAAACCGCGATATTTTAGTAACTACTGAAGATAATTCACTCAAAATTTATATTTACAATAATTTTTAGACGCAAAATAAGAATATTAGAAATTTTTGGAAAATAGGCGTAGCCACGCCCACTTATGGTTACACGTGTATATCTTGGTAGCCGCTGCACCAATTTCTTCCAAACTTGGCACAGTTTTTGGCCTTGATACAGCATACCAAACGGTATGGTTATTGTGCTTGTCACATAAAAGCAAAACATTGAAAATTGTTTAAATCGCGCTAAAAGTACGGCCACTTTTCATATAACGGTAAATTTCAGAAATGCTTGAAACTTCAATTTAAGGCCGCTAATTTTCGAAAGGTGAAAAAATTATATTTAATACTTGCGCCGGGTATTTAATGTTCGGCTCCGCCCGAATTTAGACTTTATTACTTTCTTACTTTTTTTCGTTTTATTTTTTGTGAAAAACGACAATAAAAATCAAGACGAATCTTGGGCGAATCATGACAAGGTGGTGTTACCTTGTATAAATTCGCCTTGGTTACTGCACCTTTTTCAGTTTTAGTTCAGAAAGTTGCAATTCAAATTCAGAAATTCCTTTTCAAATTCAGATAGTTACAATTTAAATTCAATTCAATTTTACAAAGTGGAAATTTTAAGTAGCTAGGACGTCACCCTTGACTTTTGGTAATCTTTTGTTGAAGGTGTTGCTCATTTTCTGCATACAAAAAAATTGCCTAAAATCAAGGGCTAGCCACTTCAAACTTTCACTTTAATACATTAAAATGTAATGTGCTTCAAAACTGCATACAATATGATTTAAAAGTTTACAATTTTGATGAAGATTTGTTAAAATTCTTCGAGCGCGTCTTCCCTATTTACATTCTCGCCAAAGTACATAAAACTAAGGGCCGGATTTACAAATTCTATAAATCAATACCTTTCTATTCAAATTTTTAATTCGTTCCATACAAAAAAACTAATTTCACAACAGTTTAACTATGGGGGCATGCTGGTTTAAACTTTGGTTAACTGAGCGTTGTCAATATGAAAATCAATAGTAAAACACTTATCAGGGGAGGTCCAAAAAATTAGGGTGGAAAAAGTAGTCGGAATTTGTATGCTCTCCCCCCCTAGGATTGTTCTATACCGAAAAAAATATGCCCGTATTTTTTCATTTTGAAATCAACCTATTTATTTATTTAGATGTCGCTCAAAGCGCCCAAAGTTTTCCATGTATTTTTTATGGGGAAAAAAACAACTTAAAAACTTAACTTCGTAGAAATGGTATAGAATAGTTAAAAATCAATGTTTTTCTACCAGAAAACTTTGTTTATCTGCAGGAGATTCCTAATAATAATACCCAATTGTTTATTTAACCATTTTTGCATCGCAACTATAATTTATAGGTCCGCCAAAAACCCACAAAAACCCCGAAAAATGCAATGGGGCGACCAATAAAAAATCGTTGATATAAAAATATGGTTAAATAAACAATTGGATATTTTTATTGAAAGTATCCTGAAGAGAACCAGAGTTTTCCGATCTAAAAATATTGATTTTCAAGAATTCCATACCATTTCTACGAAAAATTTTAATTTTCCCACATAAAAATGCATGGAAAACTTTGAGCGCTTTGAGCGACGTCTAAATATTTTTTTGATTTCAAAATAGGGGTACACCGCGTACACGCCAATTTCACACGTATACAAATTAGTATTTTGTTTGTGTTATTATTATGACTACTAAGTATGCACTTCAATGGTTGAATTGTTACTCTTTTCTTTAAATGAAAATAAATAATTACATACATAGACCTAAAGACTGACACAAATTTAATACATACATACGTATAAATATTTCCATTGAATGCAAACTAGACAAAGTTTTCTGAACTTAATTTGAACTTAAAATGGAAATTCTGAATTTGAATTGTAACTCTCTGAATTTTAAATACAACTTTCTGAACTAAATATAACTGAAAAAGGTCTAAGCCAGAAAATAGCAAAAATAAGATATTGAAAATGTTTCTTTAAGGTGCTAAGGAGCTAATTAATTAAACCGCTTTAAAAAAATTATGATTCTTTAGTTGTCACATACATACATACATTTGTACATATGCAAATCTTGAGAAACCTATGTTTCTCAAAAGGAGTTTACTTTGTTCTCAAGCCTACATTTAGGTTTATTGGATATTTTGTGGTGTTTCGCTGCTAATTCGAAGAAACATCTCAGGACTCTTTTTCAGTCAAGAAATGGGTACAGCACATGGACAATGCTCTCTCATTTCAACTATAATTTTGGTTCGTTTTAATGGGTTAGGATATTAATATCTAAAACAAAAATATGCATACATGCATACACACATATATAATTGCGTACAGCAGGAGCATTTACAATTTAACTCCAATCCTTCTTCAGCAGTCACATTCGTTTTGGGAAGGCAATAAATTAGTATGTCTAGCAGAAGCATTTGTTTTGAAGCCAATCGTATGTATGTATGTATAATGCAATATTATATTATTGTATACATATGTATGTACGTATGCGTATGCCTTTACCTTCTCACTGCGATCAGCAAACTCGAGTTTTCCTCCACTTGTAAAAGTGCTTCATTACTTTCTTTGAAGAGGCGCAATTTATTATGAGTTTGGACTTCATACATATGTACATACATACATATGTATGCGGGTGTGCATTTGCTGTTACTCAAGTGCTATGATCAGACATACAGCATCCAGAGTTTTGACACTTTTGCGGTCACCAAAATATATAACTCAATTAAAATTAATGTGCGATTATGATATTTTGAGTGGATTTCTGAGAAGGTTCTCAAATCTTACGTGCATAAATGTGTATGTATGGATATGAACATAATACTCTCATCCATAAGCGCATTTTCGTGTCTGTGTATGTGATCCAGCCTCATCCTTAGCAGACTGTGTGTCGCCTGACTTACGAAGTTACCTACTACACACATTTCGATCGTTTGCTTGAAGGCAGTAAAAATTAGACAGCCTAATTTTTGAGTTACGACGTTCTTCCATTAATGTATGAACATATTTATACTGGATAATGACTCCCACCGTAATATTTTGGAGCGATTCGATGTCAATCATCAGCTAGAGAACATTACACAATTTCATAAAAACAAAATAGTCTAAGAAGTTAGCAAAATGTAAATTTAAAAAATCCGCGTTAAAGTCAATCACATAGAAAACGAAATCCCTATGGGAAGCGTTCGAATCTTGCTTCACTCTGACAGTGCAAAAACCACCAACTAGATATATTTCTAACGCTTCCAATGATGGATTGCAAGACTCTGTTAAACACCAGCTCATTCGTTCAATCTGACCGATTGAAGAATGCACGCCATGCGACAAAGGTAACTCTAAGGTTAACTCAAGAATAATTTATATGTCACTGACCAACTTTCAAAAGAAATTGCAGACCAAAGGACTTGTTAAAACTCGCTAGGGCCGCCAAGGGAAAATCCGTGTACGATACTAAATATGTTCCAACCATTGGTCGATTTGACATGGAGTTACCCACCCGTATTTCTCTAACGGCAGTTGACACACAAAATATTGGTTTGGTAAGAACCGAACCAAGGCGAGTTCATATTCATATACCAGTAAAAGTTTTGTGTAATTAAAGATTAAAAGAACCAAAAAAAAAATCGTTTATGCGTTTGTAAAAATGTTATATTAAATTTTTAAATTTATTTTTAGTGCTTAACCTCAATATACATACTTCTTTTTGATATGTGTTTTACCTAATCGAATTTATTCCCTAGCGCTCAGTCATAAATACCCAATATGCGCTTGCCTTTCGGATCGAATGGACTTCTTACATGACATTCAGCCTTATATCGTTTGCCTAAAATATCCACCTCATACGTGCCCTCTTTTATGTAATCCTCACTCACAACTTGACCATCCTTCCGACTAACATAAGTCTGGCCAATTGATTTCCCCAACGCATAACCATATTCAGCGCGTCGCAAAAAACCTACGGGTTCACCATTACGATACACACCTTCCAAACCCCAAATAGGCACCTGTTCGTTCAGTGTCAAGTAGACCAAACGTTTCTTAACACCTTCTCTGCGCTGCCGCTCGATCGCCACTTTTCCTTTGTAGTCACCATTTTTGCGACATGTGAATGAAAGGCCAGCTTCGATGGGCGTATCATCAGGCCTTAAATCGAAACTCCACAGATGATAGCCTTTTTCACTGCTCAG